CCCCAAAACCCCAAAACCCCAAAACCCCTTAAATTTACAATCGGTTTAAATTTATTATAACTCAGAATTTGGGAGAAGCAATGGAAAATGAACTTGAGATTTCGTTGTCACAGACCTCTTCAGGCAGCCTGGCTGAAGGTCATCGTGCTAGAGAGAATGGAGACATGCAACATGAAGAGAAAACAACTCTTTCAGACCTTATAGGTGAGGGAGGGATAAGGAGAGAGATTGAAGAGTTCAGAATGAAGATTTAGTTTTGGCATTTTTTGTATTTCAGGCTTTGTTTGAATTTTGATGAGGAATTTTGTAAATATTTGAATCTTTACTGCTTATTGATATCCAATACTCATTTATAGATATTCAAATAGATCGGTATGCTCTTGGAGAAGTAGCTATAATTCCGAGTGACGAACGCAAAAGAATGTTCATAAACGAGCCTGAATTGCTCACTTGTAATCCTCTTTCTAACCATATAGACAAAACCAGTGGGAGTAAGTCAGAGTTTTAATAAGGAATTTATGAGTGGATCATGAATAGGATTATTCGACTTCTTCGCAACCTCACTTCAAGAACTAACAAATCTTTTGACTAAAGCACAACTGTACTTCACTTACGTAGCCTGTCATGGGATCGTAAAACTTGTAATAAACATTTAGATCCTCATTCAAAGCTTAGAATTTAGAGTTTCAGATATTTATCGATGCCTAAAGTATCTACAATTCCTTTAACCTGCTAATTTATTTTCTCTGCCAAAGAGTAATTGTTGGATAAACTCTCTACAACTATGAATCTATAATTCCTATCAAGTTCTCTGCATGTTTGTGGGTCAAAAATAACTATTTTTCTCTTGTCCAACTTTCTATACTTCAAATTGTTTTGAAGCAAAATTAGTATCATTAAAAGTCTTTTTCTTTAAGCTGGAAGCTTACAGCAGAAGCTATAAATAACGGCTTGAGTCGTATCCATAGTCAGTATAAATCTCCAGAATCGCAACTGTTTCATTTCCAAAAGATACACAAGCGGTAAGGCTTGTTGCGTAATTGTAGTCATATGGAGTTCTGTACTAAGAAAGCACCTAAACCAACCGGTTTGGCTATAAGGAATAGGAACAAAATTAGCAAAATGGTATGAAGTCTCCTTGATTAGTTTCTAATTTTGCTTAGGATCAAATAAATAAGAATTTTGAAAGCCTTAAGCAGGTAGAATTAAGTTCACAGGTCTTTGAAACGTTAGGTAAGTAAATTATTTTAATCTTCAAGGGAGGGGTCAGGCTGCCTGATAGATATCTATGCTTTCCTACCAGAATTAATTTAAATTAAAGAAATTTCGACTAAATCCCTAAAATATAGAAATATTAGAAGTATCCTTAATAAGCTGAGTTGTTGGTGGCATATTTCAGATTGTTGGTCTAAATGTTCTTTCCAATTAATTAAACTCCCAAAAATATAATTAAATCTGTTTTATCTAAACCAGGATCTTTACAGTCAATTCTTCTATATTCTATCCCATATGCTTGAGAACTTACACTAGCCTAAACCCTGGCTAGCTCCCCAGAATATTGGTTGCAGAACTGAAGCCTTAAATCTTTATAATTTATCCTAAATTCAACACTTTAGAGAAAGAACTCAAATTTGAGAAGAGCAAATAAAATGGAGATAGAGGCTGAATTAGCCAAGCTAGGTGCTATTTTTGAGAAGAGAAATGAAGAACTTAAGCAGATCAAGCAGAAGAACGTCCAAAAGGACAAACTTATCGATGAAATGAGCATAACTGTCAACTACCATAGAGGTACTAGGCTTTAACCATCGTTTAGAGGTCGCAAAGAAATTTGAAGAAGAACGCAACGAGCTCATGGAAGAACTTAAGAAATTGAAGAAGGAATATGACTTAAAAGACAATCTTACTGAGTAAGAGATCAGGTAATTTATAGGATGGAAATGACTAAGATGGAGAATGAGCTAACCCAATACCGTATGAAGAATGTAAGATGTTTGTGAGAATTTAGGCATCAAACCTGACAAGCCCAAACCATTTGTTAAGATAAGCTTTGTTATAAAAGACTTATATTCTCATATTTGTTAAAGTAATCAATCCTCTTCTGAACTCTTTGGTAAATCTTGGCTTTTTCATTGTCTGGGAATGCCTTGATGTACTCCTGTCTAATGAGGTAGGAGTATTCGTTATCTCTCAGTGCATTGTAGTTGAAATAATAGCTCTCGATTGGTCCTGTGAACAACATCAGGTTCCAGATTAGTACACCTAAATTGTAGTCCGGTCTCCTTACCCCACATTGCCATAAACTTGGAACTCAGAGGATGGTTTCTGAACACATAGTAACTCACAAACCATCCATTGGTAACAGAGAGGATTAGATAATCTCTGAAAATATATCTCTCAAACGCTTTTAGAAGCCTTTTGCTGAACTTGGTTTGTTCATTTATATCTAAACAGTATCAGAAGCTAATTATTACCCTCTTTATAATCAAACTCCTTCTTAAGTCTATCTTTCTTCTGTCTTCTCGCTCCCTCGATCAACTTCTTAGTAGAGGCTCTCCATTCCTTCTCCTCTTTAGCTTGCCTTAGTCTGGATTTGAACTTGAAAATCCCTGAAGATTACTTATCAAAATTACTTCTGAACCGTCCTTTACCAGGCATCGCTTCAGCCTCATCCTCTCTAAAACGTCACTTTCCCTCCTACCTGACCATCTGCTCTACAGCTTCTCTCCTCTTCTTCCTTCTCTCTTGCCTTGTATCCATTCTCGGTCTTCAATATTCTATATCCAAAAAGGGGTTTTGGGGTTTTGGGGTTTTGGGGTTTTGGGG